TGTGCTCTTCCGATCTATATTGATTTTCTTCCTTTAAAAGCCATTATAATTGGAAAATTATAAACTCTTGTACAAAGCCTCCGTAAGTCGAATTTTTATATAATAACTCTCTTTTACTCGAATTTCGATAAGTCGAAAACTCTATAACTCGAACAATTTTTCTAGTCCCTTATTGAGATTCAAGTTATCGAGGTTCGATTGTAATAAAATTATTATACATACCAACATCCGTGTTGGCTCGCATTAGGGTTTACTTATGAATCGTTATGTATTTCTGAATTATTATATATATATATATATATATATATATATATATATATATATGTGTTATGTCATGGCGAGAGATGTATCATATTTTCTATGACTTTGCAACCAAAATAGGGTTTACTCGAAAATTGTTTTTAAAGATTTGTGTACGCGAGTCATAGTCCGCTTAGCGTTAGAAATGTTTCGGAGCAAGCTAGATTTCTTTTATTCCGATTATCTAGCGCTTCGAAGCATTTAAAATGCTAAGTGGATTGCAACTTCGTTCTCGAAGTTGCATCCAATTAAATTTTAACTTTTCAAGCGAATAGTAGAAATTCGAAAGACTCGATCTTTTCAAAATTAAGATTCAGCGAACTTAATTAACTTGGTTAACATTTGAAATTTTGTTTGAACAGTAAAATTGGCGCAAAATTAGCTTTCCTTGAGAATGCGATTATAAACACGGATCAATAATATTTAAAAGATCAGCTTTAAATCTTGGCAAAAGAAAAGCGGCAAAATTATTGTTACATTGTTACTAAAAATAAAAGAAAATATAAAATTCTCACTGAACGGAAACGGGAATTCCTTCGGGACTCTTGTAAGAATAGGATCCTTCGACCACTCGGACAAGTTCGCCATCCACGAGCTTCAGGGTGGCGACTTCCTCTCTCTGGACGTCATCTTCGCGGACGGCATTCGTGGCCGGCGGTGCAGGATCCGCGATCGCTCGCGCGCCCTCGAAGGGCGGTTTTAGAATCAGGCCACCAGAGCCGCGCGCAAACTGCGGTGCCTTCTGATCCGGGGACAGCCTCTCGGCAAAGAACGCCGGAAATGACAGCAGACACCAAATCTGTGAGAATAATTTTTTACACAGGTGACTCATAAAGAAGAGAATATGCACTTAAAAATGATAAAAATATCAATTTTTTTTAATTAAAAAAAGATACATTGTTTCAAACATTTTGAGTTGTACAAAGTAATTTTTGGATATATCATAAGTCTACAAAAAAAATTGAACATACAATTCTCTCCGAATGACTAGAAAAGGATAAATAAAGTTTATTCTTTTAAAAAAAGATTTGTTTTAAGTTTTTAGTTGATTTGTTATCTAGCAAAACCCTTTTAATTTGAAACAGACAAAGAAAAAAAAGAAATCATTGCAAGTAATATGAAACTGTAATGTATATAACAACAAAATATTTGACGCTTTCCTAGAATATAATTTTCTTATGTACCTTTTTCTTATTTCTTTTTTTTATTTTATATATCTTTTTCTTAGAAAGCATTAAATCAGTTTTCATAAATTTTTTCAACAGAAATAAATTGACTACAATCTAAGCGGTTGATTTAAAAAAAAAATCGTAATTTCACAAGCGATTAGAGTATTGCTAAACGTATACCTATTGGCTTTCTTCATACCATAATTAAAATTCATAAAGAATTTATATGTAAAAAAAGCATCGATCAAACTGTAGCCATACAAGAAAAAGATTTAAAAAAGAAAATGATAAATATGAGGAAAATGAACGTAAAGATAAATAACTTTTCCTTTTATGCTTTCACAACCGTCACCCTCCCATTTAGAATTAATTGTGCGCTACAAATATTGCGTTATTCTTTAAGATAGGTTTTATAATAAATCGCAAAAGTTATACGATTTCCACGAGAAAAAGAGTAAGGACGAAATTGTATAAATCTTTTCCGAAATTCGCCGGAACTTCTTTCTTAGGAAAATCGATTTTGCAAATTGGAAGATTAACAACATCTCCTCTTGTCTCTCTAAGCCGTTCGAGGAGGATTAATGAACCGCATTTATCTACGAATAACCGGAGAATATTGCCGAGAATGACCCCGCGACCGCATCGCGTCGTGTTGGATAATCACGCGGGGATCGCCGCTCGTCGTCGCAACATATGTACATATATGTACGCGACGCGGTGGAGGTGGACCCACTCGGAAAAAGGACACTTTCTACTTAATCGACGATCGCGAGACCGGGCTCGCGTTTTGAACCGCTTCGGGGCTCGATAACCGGCCGCCAGTTTAGAGAAGAAACGCAATCGCGACCGGGGGTCCCTCGTCGTATGTGGAAGGTGCGACGGGAATCTCGCGAATCTTGCGCGATGAACTTTCAACCCCTGACGCTGTGCGCGCGGTATATTACGCCGGAGACAGACGGTGCGTGCGGCGTTTATTATGTAGCGGCCCGGCGGCGATATCTTTCATCAGTGAGAGAAACAGAACTGGTATATCCTAATAGTATGCCGAAGAGGCGAGTTAGAGGCGAGTTAATCTAGTGACTGTTATTAATCGGCTTTGCGAGAGAAATGTATATAGAATCTCCCGCGAAAAGGGAGGAGGGGGGGAGGAGGAGAGGGAGAAATAGTGGAAAGGTTAGCGAAAAGAATCCGTTGGTTGCGTAATCGAAGATTAATAGAAATAGTTATTTGACGTTCATTAGCAATAGCGAGCTATCGGATTGACTAATAATTGGCACGATATTGGCTCGTTTATTAACGAACTAATATTATGACGCATAATTTACGTAGAGTTAAACTGATAACATAGATTAACTAGTAATTGGCACGATATATAATAAATTAAATTGACATACTTGATAATTTACGTGGAGATCAAAGTGTTACGCGCGCACCGCGTTAATTTATATTAAAAAATGATTAAAGGCCCTATTAACACTTCGATGTAGTTGAGCGATTAATCTGAAGGTATAAGCCCGCGCGCTTCGTAATATCGATTTTTATCAGGATTTTTATCTCGTTTCATAAGTATTTATTAGAACTGGATTTATGTCATATTTATATATTGGAATTGCACGGAAAAAATTGCTATGGATGTTACAACATATTCTCCATGTTTGGAAAAGAAATGCACGTGAATTTAAGTTATATTGATGTTACATGGCATATACATCTGATTTTCATTAAGGTATGCTCATCAGTACGGCTCATCAGTACAGTCACAACCGCAGTGCTTAGAATAAATAGAACTGTTATCCGTCCGGATTTCCCCGGATTTGTTCTAGTTTTGAAGGTTTTCGGAGGTATTCAGGCGGGTTTTTTTTAACGGTCCGGATTTTTTATGATTTTTTATTATACTCGTATTATTAAATAACAGTTGCGCAAGCGTTGTCGTAAATGTCGTAATTAAACTCCTACTTTCTGGCTTTTCCATAATTTGCAAAGATTTGTTTATAATTTGAGTTTTTTCTTCATCACTGTGATATAATAATTTACTATTTGTTTTATTAAGTTTCATTACACACATTATATATTATAAGGTCAAACTGTCAAAATATCACTGCAAATACTTTGAAGCGTTTGATTTTATCAATCAAAAAAAAGAATTTTACTAATTGATCAATCAAAAAATGTTTCAAAGCATTTTTGTAGCATCGCACTGACGGCGTTGATTGTACCCTATATCTTATATATGACTTATATCGATTATAATTCATTTTAATATTATTAAGTATAAAGTTAATAAATATATTTTATAACTATTTAAACTTTCATTTTATTTGCGAAAGCAACTTTTGAATATAAAAGTGTGTTACATGATGTATTAAATAATTAAAATTTGCAATGAAAAAAAATCCGGGGTTTTAGAGCTCATAGTCCTAGATTAGTGATTTTACAGATGGCAGCTCTAAGAACAATTAACATTCATTTAGAATATCTTCATATACATATGTATGTGGTTGCGTCAACCAAAACATTATTGTTATTTGGGCTGCGGTCCGATTCACGCTTACAACGCTTTTGAAATACTTTTATCCTTGTCGTTAATCGAATATTAAATAAAGACAAATAATGATCACGAGCGCTGCAAGCGTAAATCGGACCGCAGCCCTGATCTTCCTAATGTGGTCTGCACAACAAATAGTATCATTGAGAGATATATATGATATAGGCTGCGTTCGCTTTGGCGCTTACAGCGCTTATTAGCATTATTTGTCCTTGTTTAACATTTGATAAACAACAAGGATGAAATGATGTTGTGAGCGCTGTAAGCGCCAAAGCGAACGCAGCCATAGTTGCACGTCACAACATTGAGGCCGAGAGTTTAACTAATATAAGTCATTTCCAAAGTATTTTAATTCCTATAACCCTTTTGAATTGATGGGCAAAAATTATCACAATTATTATGTTGTGGCAACAGTAATTAATTTATTTTCCGTGTGGATTTATGTCGCACGTGCGATGTAACGATTTAACAAGTCGTTGCACGGTCTTTCCCCAAAAGACGCGAATGCACCATTGCGTCGCTTCGCAACGCGGGTTGCGATGTAAACGTAAAATTTACGAGCGATCTGCCATAGGCCGCGAAAGGCACATACACAACATCTGCGTAGGATTGTCGGTAGTGTGCTCTCCCGCGTTCTCCAGCATGGAGAATTTTGCAGAAGAATAATTTACGGCGACTCACGTCAACGCGTTCCTCTATTTTCTATTTCCTCGCTGCATGGACTTTTTTTACTTGTGAATTTGGCACACGAAAGAAACTTTCTTTAGTCACAAATAATAAAGAGTAACTCAAAGAAAGGTGGTTTTTTCGCCCGTTTTTTTTGGATCCTCGGTTTTGGGACTGTGTGCCAAATGTAATGAGTACCTTATGTAACGGTACCTTATGTAATGAGATATTAATCACAAAGAAGTTTCAGCTTGAGGTGACAATTGCTATCACAGCTGGAGGGGGGGGGGGAGTCACTTATTAATTACGTCTCTTTTCCCGAAAACTCGATTTTTTATATCCAAAACAAGCGTCATTTACATAAAGCTGCGATAAACTTTTATCGGCTGAATCAACTTTCTCAAATACTGGATCTCGCAGATCTGTGATAATTCCATAATGAACTTTGATTTCACTTCCCCCCCCCCCTCAAGTTCTGATAACAATTGTCTCAACTTGAAACTTCTCTATAATTAATGTCTCATTATAAGGTATTATTTGACACAGTTCAGTGTCAAAATCGAGGGCCAAAAAAAACGGGCGATTTTTTGGTTCACTCTTTAAGGAGTCAGAAGTAATAAATTTAAGAAATTATTCGTATCTCTAAAAAAAGCAATTAAATGGAGATTAAATAATAATATATAATTGAAGCTATTGATCGGAAAGATTAATATTATTTAAATAATAAATATCGGAAGCTATCATAATTGACATAATTTAACTAAATTATATCAATTAATTAATTATGAATTTCATAATTATAATTATACAAATATTTTTTTACTAATATATACGGTTTTAGAAAAACAATATATATATTGAACGATGATATTTGATAACTGAAATCTTTAAATTTGTCCCAACTTATGCATTAAACTTAAGCTAAATGTATTTATGAATCGTGAATGTTACGTGAATTACGCAAATTCGATCCTGACTCGATTTTCCTCACGCGTGGTTAGAGTTTCCTCTCGCGGCGAGCTTTGAGAGCTTTTTTCTATGGGACGTACCAGCGAGTGTATAATCCCGCGACGACGCATTGTGGCTACCAGTTATGGCGATGGTAATGAGGTAATAACGGTAAAGATGACGATCAGCGAGAGGACACTTTGCACTGCGTCACCCGGCGCGCAGAGCGGCTCGGGAGCGCCTCGGTATCGCGCGGACACCCTGTTGTCACACCGGGACTGCGTCGGGTCCTGGCTCGGCGGATTCGTGCTCCTGCGAGCCCCCGTCCTTATATACCTCCCGTAAACTCCCCCTCACGTAAGACAGTTTGGACGCTCTTCCCCCTCTGATCGCCATTTCAAGGAGGCGATTTACGCGATGCGGCTACTGTTTTGCAGCTAGCAACGCGAGCGATTACATATATTTTATATATCATGGAAAGAATGATCTCGTTGAAGTATCTAAAAGTTCAGCCAGATACAGATCTGAATTCACAAAAAAAAACAAAAATGTTTTGCTGATGCAAGTAGATTTCTGTAGGTAGGTGTCACAACAAAAATGTATGCTATTATTTATATCTGTTAAAATATTGTTTGTCACATGTAGAATTTATAGTAGCAACATTCCAGTAATATAATCTTCTAGAAAATGTATTTATTTGTCTCAGGCTGCTAATCTTTTCTGGATACCGTAGTCAAACTTTATAAACACAATATGAACAGGTGCCACAGAAAAATTTCCTTTCAAAATTTTATAAACAGTTCAGATAATAAATTCTGTCTCTGTCATTTAGATTGGTTAAGTACCAAATATATGCGATATCAGTATTTGCTAATCATTTATTATAATTAATTTTTCGCAATCGAAAAGGAGGAAGGCCTGATTTTGGTCTCAAATTTTGCGCCTTGTCAAAATGTTTCTTTCAAAATATGTTACATTCATCTCGAGTGTGCACTCAGGGAATTGTTTTGCTGTTCCAGGTAGAATTCTAAATATTACACTTAAATTATATCGCTGTTTTTTGTATCTGTTAAAAAATTGTCTGTCATACGTAGAATTTATAGCAGCAATATTTTAAGAATGTATGCAAGAAAATACAGATCTCATAACCAAATATGATTGAAGTCTGGATTGGAGTCTGGACTAATTAAACGTCATAAAGAAACTTTCTCGCTAAATTTGACAAATAGTTCAGATATAATTTCTGTCTCTCTTATCAATATATTAAATACAAAACATATGTGGTATTGCAGTGCTTACTAATCACTTATCCATTTTAGCTAATTTTTCGTACCTAAATAATTCTCGCTATAATTGCAAAATTACTTTTTTCAGTGATATGATTGCACGGTGTCTGTGTGCCATTATATATGTATACCGCAGAAGTTCATATAATTATTTTCAATGTGGCAGATATGAGGTATTATATCGAAGTACGTTGAAAAAACTAATTTTTGTTTTGTTGCAGAATGATCATTTCAAAAAGGCATAATTCTCTCTGCATTTAATGCTGAGTTTCAGTTTTATTATTTCATATTCTGGAAAAGCATCACTGTGATATTGAGGTTTTGAGAAGCAGAAAAAGCTTGCATAAAGCTGTTTGCATGGATGCTACAAAATCATATCTAATATTGAAAAACGATGTCTACTGTAATACTGTTTTGTAGGCAGAAGTCACCCCCCCCCCCC